ATTTTAAGATGTTTACAAATGTCTGTGGACTACCAGTGTGAGATATTTGTAATAAATAGGGTTTCACTAATGATAATTAATTTTTATTAATAACGTTGAATCTAAAGTGAATACTTCACTGGAAGCAGCTGGGCACTTCTGGTTTTGATACATATTGTGTATTTATTAACAATATTTGGCTACTTAAAAAGCAAATTGCACCTTGCGAGTAATGTAGACATAAACACAGGATCTGAATCTCAAGGTATCACAGTGAAGAGTTGTTTTACCACTCAATAATGATCCAGTAAAGCCATGTACTTCAATTCATGTTACCTCTGTACTGGTAGAGCACTGAGTAAACCACAAAATGGGGGTACAGGCCAGCAATGAAAAGATCTTTTCTAATTACTATAACAATGACACAATGTTATGGAACACCAGCCTGCTAGTGCTTAATGGTTGAGCTTGAATTTCCTCTTCTAAAAGTGTATCATGAAAAAAATGAATGTCTTGTCACTGATTCAGAGAAAGGGCCAGAGAAAGTTGCAATACTCCAAAGCACAAATATTCCTGTAAGTAGCAATATCAGGATTGTAAGAACATGAAGATAAGTAGAAATTGTAAAAATATTTATTCATAAATGTCTGTGGACAAATGGCACAGGTAACATATCTCTGACTCAGCAGCCTTATTGTCATTGTCAGTGTTCTAATTGTGATAATCTCCTATGCCTGAATAAGTGATTCTTCTCCAAATATGTGTTCCCCTCCAAGGGTAAGATCTGCTATATGTTTGGTGTCCCTCTCTAACCAACTACGTACCTGGGTTTCCCTGGCCAGCTTGACTGCACTGTGCCCAGCAGTAGTTGCTAACATCAATGCTGTTGCCAAAGCATCTACATTAGCTCATGACTATTATTCTTCTTTGTTGCTTTTCTGCTCAATTCAGATGATGTCATAAAAGAGCTGTGCTACTTAAAATGTCAAGTTACACATCCCTCCTGTTAGTATATCTTCATAAGCCACACGAAATGTATAGCGAGAGGCTTGCTTTTTGGAAAACCCCTTATAGTGCAATAGCATTACATAGAAATGTAACAGTGTAATATGTAATATAGAATAATGGAGTCTGGAATTGTAAGAGTGATTCCTAGCATCGGGAATTAATGATCTTGACAAGGCCATTGATGGAGGCATTAGGTGGAAGGAAGTCCACAAGAAGAGAGAAGCATTGACAAATTGGAATGTGAACTAGCCTGGGGCCAAATTTGGACTCTTGTTCACACTTTGTTTCAGAAGGCAGTGATTTGGACATGGGAGCAGGGCATGTGCGGATCATTAGTGTTGTGGTTCCCATATTAAATAAGGCATTTAATGATATACACGATATTTGAGATTGTTCACTGCATGTTCAAGAGCATCACAGTGGCTGATAGGTGTGTTTGAAACCTAACATGGGAAATTGGACCAAGTTGATAATTTCTAATTGTGGGGAATATAGACAGCAGTATAGACTGGTTGGACTGAACAGTCTGTTTCAGTGGAATCTTATGGAAGTCTGAGCAATTTGAGATATGTTATGATTTGTGGCAGAATTGGACAAGAGGTCTACTGAGGCCTATCTCCATATCGGGAGCATTTCACAGCATCTTTTGTGCTTTTGCCAATCGGCAAGGTGAGTTTCTCACTAGGCAGTAGCAAGTTGCCAATTAAGGGGGAATTATCACTTTTGAAACATCTTAGTAATGTTGTAACTCACCTCATTGATATTCTGCTTCCCATCTTAACAAATCCACTAAACAACTAGACTTTGGGAAAACTCAACACGGAAGTCAGAGCCGGTACCTGGCAAGTTCAACTCGCCCCTGGCTGCAAGGAGCCTCCATGGTGCTGTTATGGACCAGACCAAACCCCCTCAAAATACATTAAGAAGGTTGCCTAGACCCTAACTTTTTCTTATTTTAAAGGCATTGCATTACAGATGCAATTCAATTGGTCAAACTATCAACTTTAAGCAAAACACTCGTTATTTTTGCACTACAGTTAAAATAGAGACAAAACAAAAACTAAAAGAAAAGAATTGGTTTAACTGTAACATCAAAATGCTTAACAAAGTAATTTATACATTAACTACTACTAATTAACTGTTGCAATATAGTAACATCCCGTAAACACAGTCTTGGCAAAGGAAAAGAACCCCAGCTTTTAGCTGTAACAGAGAGAGGAATTAGAGCTTCCACGTCCGGCTTCAAGACTCCAGCAACTGCTGAAAGCTAAAACTAAAATTCCTGGTTCTATGGGAGCTTGACCCCACCCATTCAGGATACTTCTAATGTTCCAACTTAAAAAAATTCTCCAAGGCCTCAAAGCTGTTTACTTTATTGGACTTTAGCAGACTGTTCAGTACCTCTGTCTCAACCTTTCTTCATAAAAAATACCAAGACAAAATACACCTCTTAAAGCCATTGACTTGACACATTGCTTAGCGCCTAACGATATCTCTGTTGGCCGTCCATTGGCACCAGCTGACCATACCCTTTTTCTGTGGACATTGGCACCTGACGCTTACCAACAGTTCATGCCTTCATGGCATCTCTCCCATCCACTTCAAGACATTTAGGAAGCACAGACTTGCATTTCAGTACACGCTGGTAACCAGCACTGAAATGCTGCAGCAGAGACACTGTGTACACAGGGATAGGTACCTAGCTTAGGGACTGGATCAGGCTGCATCTCAGGACTGTTTGCTTGCTCACTAACTTGGCACCTGTCAGCATGCTTGTGCCATCTGTGATTGACCATCTGGTGCCATACCATGCCTGTTAGCCAGAGTGAAAAGCTATCAGTCGTGCTGTATTGAGATCTTATTTAGCAGGGACACACTGACAAGCTGCTTGTCATGCTGGTCAGCAAGGATCTGTCTGGGTGGCAGTTGATGCCTTGGCATGTGACACACTGAGGCATTAACGTAACACCTGCAGTATGTGCCAGCTGCCTGTGTGGCAAACCCACTGCTTGTGTGAAATGGCCGCATCGGAAACTGAGTGAGGGCCAATCGTCAGTCTAGTTCCAGGGCCAGGGAGTGGGTGCTATTGTTCAGGGGGTTGAGGTACTGTCAGTTACAAATACAGTCCACACTCATTCCAAGGGCCTTCACAGCAGCCAACACTCCAGGA